AAAGTTCAATAATTTTATGTACACATTTTAGAATTAGTCTGATTCAAAGGAGAATCAGAAGGCTGAATCCCGACTGACAGAGGAGGAGTTGGGGATGGAGGAGGGTAATTAGCTATTGAGCAATGTGAAAACTGCTGATAATACTGAGGGACCTTATATATGAATGCTTAGATAGGTGTCGTATTCCCATAGGTAGATGGGGATCAGCTGAGAGTCAGCTGATGCGAGTTTGACTAACGTGACCTGCCAGAACTAACACTACGCTTGATTTTCGCACTGTCATTTTCTTGCCGCTTGTTTTAACATTGTACATTGCTAGGCAATGCCTTTCACTCACTGAATTAGTGGTTATCAGTTTCATAAATAAAGACAAAATGAGTAAAAGAAGGCAATTTATGGATGCTGAAGAGGTATACGAAGCACTAAATACTATAAGTGATGGAGAGTCTAAGTAAAGGAAGAGGGAGATAAGTAAAGCATCCTGGGTCAGCTCAGCATCTGACGGTGATCCAGATATCATATTTAGATGTTTAAACCTAACGTTACTCATAATTGTTCAAAATTAGGATTAATTAATTGATTTTTGTTTTGTGATTTCAATCATTTATTGTTCACTTCTGTGGTGCTATTTCATTTCCTGATTTCCTGAAGAAAAACAAAATCCGATCTATGATGTAATGAATAAAACCATTTTTTGATTACCCGAAGTTTTGTTCTCTTGTTCTCTTATTCAAATTATAAATTATATAACTAAACTAATTAATAATTAATTAGGTGAAGCTGTGCACTTGAATTTGCCATCGCATCATGCAATGTGGTGAATTATTATTGCTCATTATTGTCTATAGGCAACTTTTAGTAATTTAAATAACATAGGTTAATATATTATCTAATATGATTATATTATTGTCAGACTCTGTTCCGTGTTTTGTGGTTGTTTTGCTCCTCATGTGCCTTCCTTTCCCATGTTTAATTTGTCCCAGGTGTTTCCCTTGATGTTTCATTGCTCCCAGGTGTGTCTCGTCATCCCCTCCTCCTGTGTGTATAAATAGGGTTCCCTGTGTGTGCTCCAGCGTCCGGTATTGTTCATGTCATTATGTATAGCGTGAGTGTTCCATGTTCCGTTGTGTCAATTAAACCCAGTTGGATAGATGTACTCCTCGTCTCTCTCCGTTCCTTGCTCTTCAGTCCGCTCAGCAGTGTGCCCGTGACAATTATCATATCTTAATATATTAATTAATGACATTGTAGTATAATATTACACCACCCAAATATGCATTTGCTTCCTTCTAATTCTCGTTGTCAGTGCAGGCTTGTTTAGCTTATTGACCGTTATGAAAAGTATTAGTGGCCTGCATAAATAAAGCCTTGAGCATAAAACAAGAGGACAAATATATAGTTGATGACTAGACATAATAATTTCATGACTCTAGACACTTCTTTGTGAAGCCAGCGGCATAATGCATTGAAATAATGTTTTTTAGTCATATAAAAACAGTTGTCATGTGCATGAGTAAAATGGGTTTTTAAATTTAAGCTGGTGGTTTTAGATATACAGCGACACCTGGCGGTTCTAGTGTTAAAGGGGTCATGAATTGCCTCCATTATTTATTTTTTATTTTTTGGTACTGTTCTCTGAGGTCCACTTATAATGCTATTACGATTTTTACACCAAAAAAATTTAATTTAGAAGTAATAGGCTATTTTTTGTCCTGTTCTTGAACCCCCTCATCTGAACGCTCTGTTTGAATGTGTGTGGCGGATTGTAGACTCTGAAGTAAACGCCCACTGCTATGATTGGCTAATAGTTGTGTATGTTTATTGATGTTACTCACACCTGTGTTGCGACATTACTGTTGGATCCAGTATAGTCGGCACAGCATTGTCTTTTAGTGTCAATCTTTCTGAAAATTCTGCTTTAAATTGTGCCTTGTTTGTAAACGAATCCACAGTAAAATCAAGCAAACAAAGGTTTTAAGATAGTTGAGGTTTTAAGCTAGTTGTTTCTGTCTTTTGCTGTAGTGTGTCAGTAGAATATATCAGTTTACATTTTCGAATATTCCTTTTGCTATTAATTATAATAATCCAGTCAATTTTTGTGTACTCAAGGCCTCTGACAACATCCAGTATGCTCACTTCAACTCAGTGATGTTGGTGGGTTTCATCTTATAAACTGCTTGCTTCAGGTCCTTACACAACATTTCAATTGGATTAAGGTCCCAACTTTGACTCTGCCATTCCAAAACATTAACTTTATTCTTCTTTAACCATTCTTTGGTAAAACGATTTGTGTGCTTGGGGTCCTTCTGTTGCTGCATGATCCATTTTTTTTTCTCGAGATTTAGTTCATGGACAGATGTCCTGACATTTTCCTTTAGAATTTGTGGTATAATTCAGAATTCATTGTTCCATTAATGAAGGACAAGCTGTCCTGGCCCAGATACAGCAAAACAGTCCCAAGCAGTGATACTACCACCACCATGTTTCATAGATGGGATAAGTTTCTTATGATGAAATGCTGTGTGTTCTTTTCTCCAAATATAATGCTTCTCATTTAAACCAAAAAAGCTCTATGTTGCTCTCATCTGCAAACATTCACAAACATTTCTTTAGTAGTCCTCTAGCTTGTTCACACGATCTTTAGCAAACTGCAGATGAGCAGCATTGTTCTTTTTGGAGAGTAGTGGCTTTCTCCTTGCACCTCTTCCAAGCACCATTCTTTGGTGCTTGGTATTCAAGATAGTCTGGATTTAGTGTGCGTTAAGGGCACTGTGCTTTGGTGTTTTTAAGAACGGGGACAGTCTTGTGCACTTACTTCCGGTCGCGCGCACGCGCTCTCAAGTGGCCAATATCGCAAGTGTGGGTATTTGGACAAGGCATAGGTCACAGGGAAGAAAGCAAAACACAACGGAGACACAGAACAGACTGACATGTTACAATAATGACATCATATAATTAAAAAGAGATACATGACGAAAAACTTGACAAATTTCTGGACCTTTATAAGGAAACAGCCAAGCGAACAAAACTACATAAATGTTATAATAGATAAATTAAATGTTTATTTTACATTTATTTTATTTTTATTTATTTTTAAATTTCCAATTATTTCTATTCACGATGTCTAGTATTTGTACAGGCTTTACATTTTTATTTCAATGTTGTAATTAGCTATTTATTTTATTCAACCCGGTCTCATGGCAAATACGTACCTGGGGGCACATTTTTGCAAGATGCGAAATATGTACCAATAAGTACATATCACTGCAGTCTCAAAAAAATGAACACTAGAGGCAGTAAAAAATACGTACCAATAAGTGCATATCACTGCAGTTTCCAAAAGAAATGAACACTCGAGTTTTGATTAATAAAGCATAATTTTAGCACATTTACTTTAAGAATATCATGTTATGACTTCAAAATAATATTAATATGCTGGGAGATTTGAAAACCTATGCTTTTGAATGTTAGCATCACGCATATCCAGCTTCATATCTATGGGTTTTCATAGATGATAGGTTTGTTCGGTAGCTCACGGAGTATGGAGACGTACTTGAAAAGTGAGGAGCTCCGGTTCGAATCCCGTGTACGGTTTGACAAAACACTATGGGGTAGGTTTAGGGTTGGGTTTGGTGTAGGGCATATTTCCAACACGACAGAGCATTATCTTTTAGCGACAGTCCCCGGATATTTGAATTCTGAACCGCCGCAATACGTGCCTGAAGAAACGTAATAAAAACACAGCAATATGTACCTATATCAACGTAATAAAAATGTGCCAGGGTTGACATATTGAACCCGTGTTTTAGCGCCACTCAGTGGACATTTCTCTTTGAAACTGCGGCGAAACGTGCAGTAAGGTACGTAAAAACTGTGTTGCAGAAATGTACACAGAGGTACGTATTTTTATGAGACTGGGTTGATTTTATTTTATCTTTGAAGCAGAATTGTTACGTGACAGCATTAATTAAAGTTTCTTAAGGATCAAGATCAAGTTATCTGCATTCCTGCACTCCATCAAGCCACTCCCATAATAGCTGTCACCACTCAAATTAATGCACGACTCAGATTAGCTGTATAGCACGTGTGTAAAACTCTAATACAATTAGAAAGTAATTTTTTATCACAAACTGGCTGTGTCTATAGTATTATAGACAACATTATAATATTATTTTCAAATTAAGTTATTGTTTTAAATTATTTTTATTTTAAATTATTGTCCCTGGATCAGTAGCGTACTCTTGTAATAAAGTAGCAGTGGCTGGGACAGATTTTAAGTGTCAGTTCCACTTAAAAAGATGCAATCTAATCCTGTTTGCATGAAATAAGCCTGCTGCCGAGCAGGTTTAAGCTAACGGACCTTTTGCTATGACAGCAACTACGGGATGAGCTTCGAAGAACCAAACAATCCAACATCATGCCAAATCGTCAACAATCAAATCCAGCTAACTGAGTTGGCGACGTACGATGAACGGGCTCCATTCTCTAAATAAAACAAGGCAGTCACTGACATCTGATTGACATCCCATTTCTAAAAAAAAGCATTTCTGAAAAGATGGACTGTAATTTCACCTTCAAATTAGCTGCTAATCCTAGAGATTCACATACTTTTGCCACTTACAGATATGTAATATTAGATCATTTTCCCAAATAAAAAAATTACAAAGAAATTTTATTTCATTTGTATGTTCGGGTTCTCTTTGTCTAATTTCAAGACTTGAAAATTAATGATGTTTTGGGTCATATATACTGAATACTTTTTTTCCCCACTGTATATATATATAAAATATAAAGGGTTCACAAACCTTGCAGCACAATGTTTGTGTGTGTGTGTGTGATAGAAATCAGATGGCATAATTTGCATTTTCTCCAGGAAATTGTTCGCTTTGCAAAGCTCTCCTTTGAAATCATCAGCTTAATTGCTACAACATTTTTGGGAGCTTTTTTTTATTTGAAGGTCTTATGTAGATAATATATCTTGTGATATGTCTTCTGCTTAGGCTGGAGTCTCCTACACGTTCGCTATACATGGAGGCGCCTAAAGGAGTAAAAATAGAAGCTGACGCAGGTGATTTCCAAGCAACTTGTAGGAGCGATTTACGCCTGGAGTCGAAAGACGGAGAGGTAACTGTCCTTCATTCTGTCCTGATGCTATTACTGCCAGTGGGCCTGATGCTGTACTTAATGTACTCTGAGTTGTGACACTTCCATCTGCCATTGGTTGTCTTCAAAGCAAGTGCTCTTTTGACATCCATATGTCTCCTTCTCATGTTCAGAGGGAAACAGGCATTTACTTAAACATTCATGCTTTAATACATCTAGATGAGTTATCTGACAGAAATATCCATGATTAAATTGTACAGACTGGTGATGTGTTGATAAATGATCTGTTAAATAATCATTATTTTTAAATAAAAAAAAAACTAATATGCAATATATATTCCAAATGTCAGTGCTTTGTGTAATTCTATTTTAATTGTGTTCAGCTTAAGTAAAACAATTAGCACAGCTAATATCTGCTGACATATTAAAGTCATGAATTTCAAAGCTTTAGTAGAAATATATTTTAATGAAATGACCAAAGTGTTACAATTATCCCTGCTTTCTTGCAAAAAGTATTGGAACCAATGCAGAAATTTCTAAAACAGTGATGGGGGACATGTCCCCATTTATAATAACTGCTACGCCCCTGGGTTTTGCCATTTGGCATGCAGATTAATAGTTAAACGAGTCTCAGTGAGGACAAAGGACTAGGCTTGAATCAGCTCTCGTAGTTTCAGGTTATGCTTTCTTGACTTTCTCCCATCTGTCACATATTCCACTCCAGTACCCCTCAGCATTTTCATTTGTCGCTCCTTTTTTACCAGGAAAAACAGACACCTCCACCGGCTTGAGTGCCCCCTTGACAGTTCCGGTTTGCGCATCAGCCACCTCAGAGGGAAAAAAAAAAGCCCTCCCTCACTCAAATTTGCTCGGTAGCAGATGTGTGGGGAAGTCAGCTGAGACCCCTGCTTAAAAAGTGTTTCAGGTCATTTGACAGGAATGCTTCCTTGAGGCTCAGTAATGACTCCTCTTACCTTTTTATACATTGACTAGCTCCTCTCTCAGCCTTGGTAATACATGTTTTCTCAAGGGTCCCATGAAAAATAGAAAGTGAGAAATGAGACAGGTTCATCTCAGGGAAAGGGCTAAAAGTAGGGATGCACCCGATACTGATACTGGTATCGGGCCTGATACTAAGCTCCTGTACTCGTACTTGTTAAAATGCCCCAATACCAAACGTCGATACCATACAGCATGTGTTAAGTGCCATATTCAGACAATGAAACACCGACAACAGGACAACAGACATCAGAATGGAGTTATTAGAGATTAAGGATGTCTACGAAGTATATGTATGCAATGAATATAATGTTAAACATTCAGTATTGACTGTATAGCTGATGTGCGCGAGCTGATAAGCAAAGCACGCTGAGTGGATTGAGCGCGCGGCGGCACAGATGCGCAAGCTTGTCAAGTGAATATACCTTTCTCACAGACATCACTGGAAAGTTTGTAGTTCGATACGTCAAAAACAAGTAAGTAAAACAATGTTACTTAATGGTAGGGAGGGAGGGAGAGAGAGAGAGAGAGAAGAGAGCGCAATTCTGTTATGTGATCTTAGATGTTCACTCACTTAGCACATGCATCATTTGGATTCAAACTAAATCGTAAAAATAAGTCAATTTATAGGGGCATTCACTATAAACATCATTTATTTTTAACCTTAGGCATACACGACTTTCTGGCGAAAGTGAATCTAGCAGCCTGTGTGAAATGTGCTAGGCTGTAGTATTCTGCATCAGTACAAATACGTGCACGCGTTGCACGTGTTTTGCTTGCTTGAGTGTTTCTGCATTATATGAGTGGCTGTGGAATATAAATCACAGCAGGCTTCAGATTAAAAAAAACGCGACTTCTATTTCTGAAAATATCAGTTAGGAGATTTATAACGTGTGGTTCCCTGCATTATAACAGCAAAGAGCATGATTACAGTACTAAGCCGCTGCAATGGAGCAGCTGATATAATTTTTGATATTTTTTTACTAGTGGGTGCAGGACACTATAGTTCATTTATGTAAGTGAGGATAGCAAAATAAAGTAAACTGTGACAAGTTATACCCATAATTTATTCATACAGTGGACTACCAGTAAAACTGATACAAATTTGGGACCAAAAATTATTCAGACCGAGTCTGGGGAAAAAAATTGAAGTTCAGGGCCCGTATTCATAAAACATCTTAAGGCTAAAAGTAGCTCATAACTCGCTGATATAGGAGAAAATCTTAAAAATAATGGGTGTGTCAGTCCTAAATTTAGGACTCCCAAATTTTTGTTCTAAGAGTATTTCACAAAGCATTTTAGCGTTAAAATTAGCTCCTAAATCTGTGAAACAGAGGTTATCACAACTCCAAATTTTTAATTTTATCCTTAATATATAGCTGTTCTCACGTCCAGTTTGGTTTTCTTTTATGTTTGCATGTCTTACTATCAGCCATGATTATTCTACTCTGCTAATTAAAAGGCTGTTTATATGCATATTACCAAAATTTTATTAGTCGCAGAAAAAAAAAATTCCACATGAAGTGGCGAAATCACGCACTCCGTGATGGACAAATCGTTAACGGCTGGTCTATGTGGTAATATAGAACATCAGCCAGGACATCCATATTCTCCTAAATCCTAACATTCATCGACCTCAAATATGACTTATCATCTGAAAAATGTATGTAGTAGCAACTTTACATGGCAGCTCAATCTAATGTTAGCCTAGAAAAAAAGTGCGCTGTTCACCTGTTTGTGCGGAGTGTAGAAGCTGAACAGCAGCACGCTTGGGCTACTTACTGCATGACAGATGGAGGTGCCGGTGCGATCATTTGATATTAAAATACTTCATCATTTTTGGCCATACAGATAAGAGCAATGCATCTTTTGTATCTGTAAAGACTCTACGTTTATACGTTTACTCTACGTGCACTCAGGATAACAATGAAACGTTGCGCTTTTGTTAAATAATGAAAACAATCAGGATGCGCTTTCTGCCGTCTCAGACTCTGTGAACTTGAGCGCGTGAAATAAGAGCAATGCATCTTTTGTATCTGTAAAGACTCTACGTTTATACGTTTACTCTACGTGCACTCAGGATAACAATGAAACGTTGCGCTTTTGTTAAATAATGAAAACAATCAGGATGCGCTTTCTGCCGTCTCAGACTCTGTGAACTTGAGCGCGTGAACACTTCGAAACTCCGTGTATGCTTGCCTTATTACAGACATGAAAAATATATCTATAGAGAGTGAAACTTTTAAATGAAAAAAAAAATCAAATAGAAAACAAATATTCTCAGATTATGTAATCCGTATGAAACATGCATACAGGCGCATACTGCGGAGAGGACAAGTCAGTGTCGCCGACTTCATCTCTTAAACACGAAAACGGAACGCGCTAGTGTAACAATAAATTATTAAAACGTTACTGCAGTGTACTTGCCGGTGCGCTATGGCAAGCCTTTTTTCCGTGCGCTTGAGCTATGTAGGCAATTAAGGCTCATTATTATGATTTATATGGTTTATTAATAAAAGTGCGACTAATAGTCGACTAATGCTTAAAATGAACGACTACTAGTCGACCAGAAAAATATTTAGTCGAGGGAAGCCCTAATGCATATTGACTAATTGTTTACGAGAAGCATACATATAAGAGGCTGACAATTAGCTGAATATATAGCCTACTTGTTTAATTAGTGACACTTAGCCTGCATTTTAAAATCTTTATTTGAATGTGGCAATTAACATTTTTATTTTAAAACCTTTATTTGAATATGGCAGCATAATATTGTGCTCTACAATATTTCTATGAATAAATCTCTGACAGAGACTATCGGCCAATCACTGTGTGCATAGTAAATATGCTGACATCATCCATAGCAACAAGGTCAAACCCACCCCTTTACTCTTAGCTTAAGACTTCTCTCTATTCCTTAGTAAAAGTTTGTCTCAGCAGTTTTGTGAATAGGTTTTAAGAGAAAACTCTTAGCTAAAAACTGTTACTGCTATTTAGGAGAACTCATAGTGGTAAGATAAAATGTTTTGTGAATATGGGCCCATGTTTGCATGAAGCTGGGTGACAGCATGCCAAGGAGACTACAGGTTGTCATTAAGGCTAAGTGTTGCCCGACTAAGTATTCATAGTTGTGTAAATACTGTCATACTAACAGCTGTCTAATTTTTGGTTGATTGTAATCCATTACATACCTTTCTATCAAATATTATCTAACAGTATCAAGCTGAATTAGTTCTGACACAGTTTAAATATTTTATTACCATTTTCTAAACTATAGTGAATAAACTGAGATAATGTGAGAAATGTTGAAGGTGTCTGAAAATTTTTTGGTTTGACTGTTTCTATTTGATAAATGAAGTTAACCAAATAACATTATACATACTCTTTTGGTTTCTGTACCCAATATTTAACAAATTTACAAATGCAATAAAAATATTGGTATCGGTACTCTGCATCGGCAAGTACCAAAAATAAAAGTATTGTATCGTGCGAGTACTGGAAAAAGTGGTATTGGTGCATCCCTAGCTAAAAGTATGTCTAATCGAGACTTACTGGAGTGCTTATGTCACTGAAACTGCTACAATTGGTTGGATGTAAGAGGTTAGAGGACTTGACTGTGGATGAACACCTTGTGAGATGGGATATTTTGTTCAATGAAATGACAATTCTGGTCTTTTTGGAACTACAATTTGAGAGTTCTCGATGGTAAAAGAGGAGAATAAACCTGGAAGTAATAACTTTACCACTGTATAAGGCACTTTCAAATTAAATCACTTTGCAAATCCCATGTCTTTATTTGTAGAGAGAACCATTTCATTATATATTATGTTACAAAATTAATCAAGCATGAAATGTAGCTAGTTAGAAGTAGTGATTTTGGTATGTCAACTTCAGAGGTCTTGACCTTCTCTGCTGTTATCTAGCAATACAGTCATAGGTGCCAATGTCTTAAAATCATGTCAACTTAATTGTGAAAATCTTTTGAATTGCTATTCACTTCATTGCAGTAAAATATTTGTAATTATTTGCTAATTTTCTTACTACATTTTCTTACTACACTATATTTATTTTTATTACTAATTAGTTTATTACTAATTTTATTACTACTAAAACCTTTACTACTTTACTACTAAAAATCATTCTCATAAACAGTATAATGTATTGGTTACACAGTTTTTCCTCCCTCATTTTTTTTCTTTAATTTACAGAAAATATAGTTTTAATTATTATTTCATTTTGATGCTGAAGTAAATGTTTATAGAAATGACACACACTTTTAGACATGTCCCACGTTTTAGTAACATGGTTGAAAATGATGAATGAATGAATGAATGAATGAATGAATGAAATAAGAATACAAAAAAAACAGGTTGAGGTTGTACATATTGTGTAATTTCATGGAAAGTGGCATACAAATAAATGAATAAATTAAATAAATGTGAAACCCTTCTCCCTTCTCTCTTAAGATCAGCTTGGATGCCAGGAAAATCAAGCTCCTACGTCTGCCGGAGGGAAAAGCCTCCCCCTCTGGAACTAGACAGACTGTCTTTGAGGTGTGTGTCTGTCCCAATGGAAAACTCTTCTTATCACAAGCAGGAACTGGCTCCACTTGCCAGATCAGCAGCAACTTATGCCTCTAGATACTCACAAAATCCCTTCCACACACACACACACACACACACACTTGTACATACAGAGGACTTGTTCCTCTCTTGAAGAATCCAATGTTGACAAGAACCGAAAAGGATTTCCTCAAGATTCATGAAAATACTTTGTAAAACAATGTTTGAACAAGAAACTTTCAAGGTGATCACCAGAAAACCATTCGACACATCGTGACAGACACCATTCCGATGCATACATCGCTTTTACTCATCAGAGTCCTTTTTTTCCGTCAGAATCAATATATATATATATATATAGAGAGAGAAAACTACTAGATGGTGCCATTTATGTGTTCAGGAAAAAATAAATAAAAAATATATATACATATACTGTATATATATATATATATATATATATATATATTTATTTATTTATTTTTGCTGAGGAAAGTACCATGGGTGCTTTATCTTGTATACGCCACATAAATATGACAGTTTTCTTCTGTTTTGGGGTCTATTTGTAACATCAAATTGTGTGTTATTACTCAAGTTCTACATCTACAGTCCTCCATCTCGGATGCCTCCCATGACGGTGATCACCTATACCCAAACTGTGCTTACACTGGGATAAAACCCACACACTCTGTTCAAAAAGAAGAACAGCGCCTGTGCCTTAATTCAATGCACTTGTGGCAAGAAGCACACCCCACTCACTTTAATTTAGACTAGGACACTTGCATTTAAGTTACTTGCCTTTTGCTCCCACAAATTAACATTTTTATGCAGCTTAATAGCATAAAAAAATTAGAGAAACCAGTGATCCCAAACTCACACATTATGTGCTGATTTCTGCTTTAATTTGGAAAAGAAAAAGAAAATTCAGATTCTGTTTCAAGAGAACACACTATTTAAGATTTTGTTTCAAACTTTTGTATTGGCTTGGCACACAATGAAGAAAAGTTGAAATTGGGAGAAACACTTGATGTGTGGATGTTTGGGTGTAAGTCTGAATTTCAATCTTATTGTACAATTGAACACTAAAATGTATTAAACAAACAAGAGACATCCAAAGCAAAGCTGACATTCTGTCATATAACAAGAAGCTGTTGAAAATGTAGGAATTGAACGTTCATATTTCCCAGTTCCCAAGATTGTTTTTATACATATATGCACTACTGTTCAGAATTTGAGGTCTGTAAGGTTTTCCAATGTTTTTGAAAGAAGTCTCAGCAAGGCTGCATTTATTTGATCAAAAATACAATGAAGGGAGATAAGGGAATATTATTACAATTTAAAATAACTATATACATTAAAATGTGATTATTCCAGTGATGGCAAAGCTGAATTTTCAACAGCTATTACTGCAGTCTTCACTGTCACATTACCCTTTATAAATCAAGAAACATTTCTAATTATTATCAATGTTGATACAGTTGTGCTGCTTAATATATTTGAGGACACCATGACCCCCCAGAAATCTGAGATGAATAATAAGTTCTAAAGAAAAGCATTTATTTAAAATATAAATATTTTGTAATATTAAAAATGTTTATTAAGCTTTACTATCCATTTTGATCAATAATGCATCCTTGCCTAATTATTTTAATCATTCTTGTATTAAGTCATTTATTGCTTAAATATTATTATTGCTTAAGTAAACCACCCCAAACTTTTTAACAATAGTATACATATACAGTGAAATTACATACATATACATATTTTTTTAAATGTAGATCTCAAGTGCCCCTATGAAACACTGAATCTTGTCTCCTATGTAATTACATCTTACACTCCAATTGGTAATATTTCTCTGAAATATGAAGGTGGGGAAAAAATAAATCTAATTCTCACTGTAATTCATTGCCACTTGACCACTAAATTTGAAGCAATGAGGAGTGACATCTGTGATCATTGTTTGAAAGTTGAAGCCCCTAGCAACCGTTGACATCCTATTAACATACTAAATGCTATAGGTAGTGAAAGGAGACAGGAACACTGGGAACTCTGTAGGGAACAACACAGCATCACAGAAGGGCTTAATCATATTCATTATCTTTTTAATTTTCAATAGAATTTGAAGTTTGGTGTGTGTGTGTGTGTGTGTGTGTGTGTGTTTGCTATTGCAATGAACTCGTGCATGATACTAAAAGACAGACATACAAGACAAGCCCAGTTTTTTTAGGTAGTAGAAAAAGCATATGTTTGAGTTTTCCCCTTTACTGAATGACTCAACTAAAAGCAGGACTTTAGGACTGATACTTATGTTGTTTGATGAATTTTTGTGCTAAATAAAGGTTTTATCTACAGTCATTTATGTGTTCAGGAAAAAACAATAATAATAATAATAAAAAAAATTATATATATACACCGTGTATAGCATTTAGTTTCCTCTCTTCTCCCAAATGTTGCTTAACACAGACATTACTTCTGAACAATGTGTATGTACGATTTTGTATGAGGAGCACAAAATGTTTCATATATTTTTTGATAATAAAACTACACCTCAGCGTAACCTAGCTTTCAGTGTGTGACAGCTATACTGGGCAAGTCTCCAACATGTATACATACGTGTAAATAAAATCTGATATTGGATTGCATAAACAGCTAACACTACAGAACTAAATGCCTAGGGTTTAGTGTATATAATAAATGAGCCCCAGCCTAAACCCAAGGCATTTAGTTCTGTAATATTATAAGCCCCAGCCTAAACCCAAGGTATTTAGTTCTGTAAGGTTTAATTAAAAAAAAAAATCTTTTTTGTCTAAATTGTGTGCAGCATTTTATCCTGTTTTTGTTTTTTTTCAGGCTTTTGGTGACCACTTTGCAGAAATTCAGTGACATTAAACTTTTGTTTAACATTTTGTGATGACTGGAAACTCATTTATTTATTTATTTTATTTTATTTTATTTTTTGGGAGGTAAGAGTGATGGAAATCCTCGCATATTCTATGCAAAACATACTTGGTTGTAGAGAGAACTCTATTGATGCAAATAAATATGTCAGCTGTATATATTAAATTTATTATACCTTAATGTATACAGTTTGTATTTATGAATTGAGTTGCAACCTAAACTGAACCAATAAACTTGACAAAAGAAAAAAGTGGATGAGGGCCAATTTTTCAAAGCTAAACGCTTCTAAACACAAATCTTGGTTACACTTTATTTTAAAATGGTGTTATTACAGTGTAACTATTCAAATAAGTATGGCGTAATATCAATTAACTACATTTACTTGATATAGGTTAAGAGTTAGGGTTTGGTTTAGGGTTATTTGATTGTAATTAAGCTTAATATACTGTTATTACAATAAGTACATATAACGTGTAACTATGTCATGTTAAAGAAAGTGTAACCATTTTTTTTTTTACTGTAGCATCAACTTGAAATATGCAGTGTATAGTTTTTTTTTTTTTTACAAAGTTCTCTGAAACACTTCAGCAGTCAAATATTTCTGAATAATGTCTGTTGTCCATGGCAACACCGTAACTGACCAATCTCTGCCGTCTCTACAGCTAAGCTAATAAAATAATTACAACTCAATATATCATGTCCATGTATTTATTTGGTAAGTGATAAGCAGGATAATGTAGTCAGCAAGATATTATTGTAAAATAAACCACAACAGGTTGATTATGACCCCCAATCTTAATATATGTCTGTTTGTTTGTTTGTTTACAGTCTGATATATGGGATGATATACAGTCATTGTTACTAAATAAATTGTTTTATTTACCCTGCCTGGGTTTATTTTTCAATAATGAACGCTGACAATATACACATTATTTTATACAATACTGTCTTAGTGAATGAATTATAATGAATCCTCTGTATATTATATCATATTTAATTTATTTATTTTTATTTTATTGTTTGTTTTTCATTACTTCCATGCAATATTGGAAAATTGTGTGTGTTACTGACAACTGTAAACATGTTCTCTGTTGAGGGCCGGAAACCATGGCAACCTCACAGGGGAAATTATTTCATGAGTGGCACTAATGGCTAGAAAAGATTATGGAATAGATAGGATTCCTGCTCACTATGTAGCAGCATGTCAATGAGAGCTCAAAAACTTAGAAATGTAAAGCAGTCCCAAATATATTCTTAGCTCACTGCAGTCCTACTGAATTACATTCAACAACAGGCCTAATGATGCGGACAATGGTATACAACAATGACTATGGGTACCACCCACTTTTAGAAAGTAATCATTAAGGAGAGGCTTTTATCCAAAGCAATTTATAGTGATTTACAGATTACACCTATTACAGATTTCCCTGATACTTTGCCTTTGCTTATTTCTTTGTAGAGCTTGAACCCGCAACTTTCCCCTTGCAAGCTCTTAGCGTCAGGCACTACACTACCACCCTCATTGCATTGTAAATAACTTTCAGTTTGACTTTGGAAGACAAAACTAGATAGATAGATAGATAGATAGATAGATAAATAACAAGCCATTTCAAAAGTCAACAACAGAGAAAAACCTCATCAAAATTATTCCCTAACAATCAAAGCATCTGTAACCATGGTTACATCAGTGAACCCCTCCCGAACCTCAGCATTGTCAACCGATAATAATTGTAGCCGATGCATTTTCCATGAACATTTATCACGCATGATAGGTTTTAATTGTGACTTGTGACATATGAATCTTATTTAACTGTAAAGTATTTCCAGAGTGCATTATTATAATAGCATGTATTGCTGAAATCCATTGTTTCTGAATTTCTATGATTCTGCACTCACTGGCTGTTTGGAGTGAATTTCCTTACTATCAGGTCACTTTGATGATTTCTTTACAGCACTTTTGCCTAATTTGTCACTAATTAAGTAGCTCTCTACAAAAGTGGTAGCCCAGTTTAAATGTTAATTAAATGTAATGGCTTGCTCAAATTTCTCCTGATTTTTTCAGTATGCTCAAATTAATTTCACATGATTACACAAAACAGCAGCTAATTGTGATTTGCTAATTGTGAAAACAAAAATGTTCAGCTTTAATACAGGAGAACTGGGGGGGATAAAATTGGAGAACTGATTCTGAAATAGCACACAGAATATTGTTACTAAAATTTTATAAATAAACAAAAAATAAATAAAATGTTAACTAAAATGAAAATAAAATATAGTTAAAATATTTTAAAAAATAGTATACAGTATATCATATAATAATATATGACTGATCCTAAAATAATAATAATACATATACAATTATACATAGTCAAATGGTAAGATTTTATTACACAAAATTTAAATTAAAAATGATTAAAAGATGTTATTTCAAAGTACAGATAAAGTAACTGTATATCACTTGCTAAAAAAAACAATCATGAGAAAACAACTTTTTTATGGCAATTTCGTATTAATTTATATGATGTGGTGAAAGTAAAAAAAAATTAGAAATCAAGCATGAAGTTCCACCTCTAAACCTAACTGTTATGGGGCACATGCAGATCACACAAAAAGCACAAATAAGATTGTACAAATTCATACAAATTTTACAACAAAACATAAGCATCACTGAAAGAGCACTTTTTCCAAAATACTGAGTAGTTATTTTGTTCCACAAAAGAATGAAAGTCAAGTTTAGAATGACATAAAGATGCTTAAATGACAGAATTGATTTGGGTAAAATATTGGAGAGCCTATTGCAATGATATACAGAGATTAAAATTTGAGTTCAAGAATAGCACTGAAAGCTTAGTGAACAAATGACTCAGCTGCCACAATTGTCACGCTCTGTGCTGGGAGGAGCGTGGAACGAGGAACAAGGAGACTGTGTCTGTGTGTTTTGAGTTTCTGTTGTGACCTAGTCTTCCCCAGTCGGTTTACTTAGTCATTCTGTTCACCTGTGTTTGATTAATTAACTCGTTAGCTCTTTTGTTTGCTCCCCTAGAAATACTCTCAGTTTTCCCTTAGCTCACACTACAGGAGTTTTAAAATCCTAACCGATTATGAAATCTGGTTGCAGCACACACATAAGGAGAATCTTTGCAGATTATCTTCTCTCAAATCTTAAACATGCACACACTACAAGATTTGAACATCATGGCGCATCACACACTACAAGATATTATTAAGATTATCATGCCAGAGGGAGCACCTCACGTGATTGCCTCGTGACCAGGGGCGTGTCTACGTGGTGGCCAGGGGTGGCACCGGCCCCCCCTGAAATCTGGCTGGCCACCCCAGGTGCCCCCCCTACCAGATATCTTGAGATAGGCTTGGTTTTAGTAAATTTCTAACGGCATCTGGTAGTGGCGGATCCTGTGTAGGCAGTTGCCTAGGGCCGCTTTCTTCTCTTCTTTATACAAAATTTTAAGCGGTTTCTATAGCGTGATCTTAATGACAAATGTCGAGAGCGCATAATGTTACACGATCCATGTAATGCGTGAGCAAGAATCTCACTGCAAGAATACGCAAGCGGATTTCCTTCACTCATACAAAACTGGACGTGTGCTTTTAACTATACATTGTTTTTTTTATTTCATGAATTGGCTCTGCTCTCGCTCAGATATTGCGTGTACACGCTCAAACGTTGTCCTCGCATCACTGAACACCAGAAGAGCTTTTTTTTCTAATTCAGGTGAAGAGTATAGGCTTTTCTTACTAAATGGAAGCAAACTGGTTATAGTCAGCCTTCTCTAGTTATTTATTTAATTATTTAATACTTATTTTAGTTAAGTGCTTAAATTGTAAATATGCATAATATGAAATAATAATTATGAAATTATTGTATTTAGTGCATTTGTATTTTGTTGTTTTTGTAGGCTATACAATAAAAGCGTACCAACCAGAAATAATCACTGAGGGTGCTTCTGACATTAGTGAGGGTGCTCTAGTCTTAATGCACATTTTCACATATTTTGTCCCATCTATTGCTATGGTTATCACTATGTCAATCACTACTACTTCGAGAGCGAATCCAGCATAAATATGCGGATGTCATTCCCGAAACTTTCCAATGTGTGTGTGGACGAAAAACAAAGTTCTACATTTATTGATTATTGCCTAGAAAGCTCGCAAAGAGCGCTCCTTTTTTAACCACTTAAAACTGTCACTCTTAGTTCATCGTGATCTCACAAAGTTCTGCTATGACCAATGAATCTCACACTGTGTAATTAATATATTATTAACATCGTCGTGTATACACTCTGTATGTTATAATGAAAGGATTTGAT